ACACCTCGGTCCAAATGAGTCTGTCCGCTTCTTCGACTTCCTGCATGTTAGGTGCCCGCAAGCCGGCACCTTGCGGATACTTCTTCGTAGCCATGTTCCACATCTTGGAGTGCAGCAGCTTGACATAGTACAAGTGACAAACTTTGCACATGGCCAACGCGTTCGCGTAAACCTGCATGAGGAGGGGGATCCGTGTCCACCTAATTTCTTCGGAAATGGGCAAGTCTTCCCAAAACAAGGTAGACAACGACAACTCTGCAGATCGGGGCCGCGAAGTGCGACTGTTCTCCCAGTCTTCAAACTGCGCTTCGTTGAGGCGCTGATGGAAGGGGATCCACCGAAAGGCTTTGTCATGAAACTGCTGCATGACCATGGAAAGAACCCTAATATCTGGCGAAACTGACCGGTCAATGACCTCGGCTGGGTAGGATTGCTTGAACTCCTCCTTGAGCTGAAGGACGGTAGAGGCTGACAACTTCTTGGGCAAAGCCACAGCCCATGACTCTCCCGAAAGCGCATCCGACTTCGCGCTGACGGGAGCTACCGGGGTGTGGGCGGGAGTGTGGGCGGGAGCTGGCTGACACTTGGACTTGAGCTCCCTCAATCTACCCATTTTGACATGGAAAAGGGCATCCCGGTCTCCTTCGAAGAATTGCTCCAAACACCACTCGTCAAAGGCACCGTCGTCCACGAAAGAAAACCAGATGTCAGAGGGAGACTCATACCCAGCATCGAGAAAATTGGCTGCCCAATCAGCTGGAAGACGGCACTCTTCGAACAAGTTGGACAGGGAGGACTCCATGCCGAGCCGAACTACTGAGGGTTAGCTTGGACTCGCGCCAGTGCACTAAAACGGAAATGGCAAGCAAGGAGCGCAGTGAGCCACATCCTAAGCAGGCACAGCTTCTTTGCGCGCAGGGCGGGCTCTCAAGAGTGTGTGCAGTGAGACAAAAGGCAAGGACGCACGAGCGTCTGTGAAACCACACCTGGCTACCTACCGCCCCATGGAGTCGAAGATACGTCGGCACGGCTTGCGACGGCAGGGCCTGAATGAGTCGGTCCAGCAGTTGACGATTTGTAGGCCCTCTTCGGAGTTTGAAGCGCCGCATGCAGCAGTACAAGGCGACCTAGAACTGCATGCGTGCACTACCTGTGATTTGCTGTTGACAACCAACAAGGCTGCGTCCACTACGACCTCGACACCTTCTGCAACACCCTCAGACTCAACAGAGGACGAGCCGGATGACGAAGAGGAACTTGAAGGTGAAGAGTCGCGACCCTCCGCAGCAGGACGCGGAGAGCACTCATCGACGTGACGGCCCGTGCAATGAGCCGGGATAATCGTAAAAGGAAAGTCGCAAGGACATTTATTGAATTGAATCTGGTCCGGCCAGGAGATCAGCCCGCCGCGCTCACGAGGAATCTGAGGAGTCCAGCCATGCGAAATTGCTGTGTGAACGCTGCACTGAAGAGCCAAGGCCAAGGACGTGTCGTCCCGACCGTACGTCAGCAAACTGGAACGCTTTTGGTCCCTATGGTGCCCAGCCTCAAGTCGCCATTCTTCTGGCAAAAACAATTGCTTGGCAAAGGCAAGCATCGTTGTCTTGCAAGAGTGCACCGTCAGGGACTGGATGTACTCATACATAGGGGCAGTGTTGGCTTGCTGGAAATGTTGGCACATAAAATACTGAAGCATTGCCCTTGCTTTGTTCCTGGGCAAAGGGGATTTGAACAGAAGCTCGTCGTCCTGGGACAGCACAGAAGCTGGAAGAAGAAACGAAGGCGGAGAATCTTGAGCGACAGATGCTTGGCGAAGAAGCTTCACAAAAACGCCCCCCCAGGAATCTGGGGCAGAGATGCATCTGGTCAGGCATGCAAAAGGCTGTGGGCTCGAGGAAGTCTTGGTGCGCGAAGCGACTCCCCTGATCACATCCCCTTGCAAAACCAAAGAAGCTGGGGAAACTCGCTGCAAGTCTGCGTAACGCAAAGAAGCCCAAGTACAAAGGAGCAAGGCGCAAGCGAGAAACCTCACCGAATGAGTGCACTCCATACTCAAAGCCTTGCTTTCCAGAAAGCACAGGAAGCTCGCCGATAATGGGGAAGTAACACGAGCGGGCTTCAAACTAGAGACCAACGTTGAGGAAAGGACGCGCGCAAGGTCTGGCATATCCAGAATCTTAGCACCCCACGCCAGCGCTCGGAACGCCGAGGAACCATGTCTGACCAGAAACTTCGCGAGGTCAGTGGCTTTGGGGCAGAACATGCAAATTTCGCGGTCCTTGCAGAAAACAAGCCAATCTTTCACAAACTTCCCATAGCGAATGATTGTCATAGGAGCATACCTTGCAACAATACGAACGGCCAGAGCATCATCAAGCGCTCGAAGGTCATGATCTTCGGGAAGTTCTTGCAGAACATCCATCCAAATTTGTTGGGAACGTGTAACCACCGCTGTGACAGAAGGAGACCGCGGTAGGGCGCTCTGGGGCCGAGGCCAACCAAATGGAATCTGAAGGGTGCCCGAAACCAGCCCCTGTGTTGGAAAGTTTTGAAGGGACAACGGGCGCTTCAATGAGGTTGCCTGTCCAATAGGTCTGTGCAAATCGGGCGATTGTGCTCGAGCATTCAAAAGGGGAAGCGCTCGAACATTGGCCGACCTTGCAATCTGAGGCCGTGGTAGCCCAGAGGGCAATCCACCTGATGAACCCGAGTCCGAGCAAGAAAACTGGGGTCGAGGCAGGCCTGGCCCAAGAGTACGACCGCTGCGCCAACAGTCCTCAAAGTGAGCTTGTTGGGGAATACCTGGATCTGGCCCAGTAAATACATCAGGGACAGGGACCGCAGTAGGAGGTCGCAGACCATGCCCGGCAATATTCGAGCATAACCTGGCGGGGAGGTGAGGTGGAGCCCTAGCGGGGGATTTGCAGGACGCGCCCAAAGCGCTGCAGACCTTCTGTTTCTTAGACACCTCCGACATCGCTAGATATTCACGGGTGGCCTGAACAAAACACAGGACGCAAAAGAGTTTCTGTTTCCAACAAGGCTCGAGCAACACAAAACTTGAACCAAAGTAGAGGCTCCCCGCTAATTACAGGCTATGTGGCGCCACGCTCGAGCCGACAAGCGGTCGGTCGTGAGCTTGCCAAATCCGCACTTGGTCGCAAGAAAAGGGGCAAGCAAGCCCCAGGGCAAGCAAAATGAAACTACCACACGGACAAGCGAAATCCATGGGGTGATCATACCGAGGCTCGAACTCAGTCGTCAGAAACGGGGCAAGCAAGTTTCAGGGCAAGCAACCCTCTGGGCAAGCACATTCACCCAATAGCGCGTGCGACCTCGCACGACTCTCAAAATTGCAGCGCCCAATTGCAGGGCAATAAGGAAAAACGGACATGGACAAGCAACATCCATGAACTTTGAAACCAAGGTCCGAACTTGGTCGTCAGAAACGGGGCAAGCAAGCCCCAGGGCAAGCAACCCTCTGGGCAAGCACATTCGCTCAATTGCAGGGCAACAAGTAAAAACGGACATGATCCATGAACTGATCAAACCCAGGTCCGAACTTGGTCGTCGAAAAAGGGGCAAGCAAGCCCCAGGGCAAGCAATTCTGGGCAAGCACATTCACCCAAAAGCGCGTGCGACCTCGCGCGCCTCTCAAAATTGCGGCGCCCAATTGCAGGGCAAAAAGAAAAAACGGACATGGACAAGCAACATCCATGAAATCCATGAACTGAGCAAACCAAGGTCCGAACTTGGTCGTCGAAAAATGGGCAAGCAAGCCCCAGACCAAGCAACCCTCTGGGCAAGCACATTCACCCAATAGCGCGTGCGACCTCGCACGACTCTCAAAATTGCAGCGCCCAATTGCAGGGCAAAAAGGAAAACCGACATGGACAAGCGACATCCATAAAGTGACCAAACCCAGGTTCGAACTTTGTCGTCAGGAAAGGGGCAAGCAAGCCCCAGGGCAAGCAACCCTCTGGGTAAGCGCATCACCCAAATGCGCGTGCGACCAGGACTCTCAAAATGGCAGCGCCAATTCGCAGGGCGCGGCCCTGGAAAAGTGAAGGCTCCGGCGCAATTCCAGCGATGCTGAAATGATCAAAGACAACAGCATAGACTTGTCCCGAAATCAACCACGTCGAGGTCAAACTATTTCGGGCCCACCCGCACTTAGTTTTAAAAAGGAGTTGGGTAAACCAATCGCAAAAGGAAATATGACGAACAACTCAGACACACACATCAGCGACCGAAACGAGAAGGCTGCTGTGGCCAAAGCCGAAACCAATGTCAGCCATAGAAAATGCTTGGATAGTGGTTGTGTGAGCCTGCAGCCCCAATATGCGCGCCAAACCTCAAAGCTGAAGACACCGTTAGTAAAAGGCAACTTCTTCGAGGAACAGGGTATGGCCAAGCTTGACAAACAACTACAGGCTAACGCTGTTCCCTTTTCCTTGCGAAGCCGATGAACATACAAAAGCCTTTTGCCAGCAAGACCCTCAAAGCTGCGACTAAAAAGTTGTCGACCCCACACACCTCAGGCCCCTCTTCTAAGAAGGGCAAGACCGCAAAGCGTAAGATGAAGATATTGCTGGCAAATGCCAGTTGCTGAAGGTGCGTAGTCCTCCACGACCGGGCCGGACGAAAAGTCGATCTCCGGATGTTGGCAGAAGATGCATTGGAGCGAGATGGCGCTAACCTTTCAGCGCCCACAAAGACGAAGTCCCGACAGACATTGCTCATGCCCAGTCCCCAGTCAAGAACCGTGCTTGCTTACCAGGCTGCTGTAGCGAGCAAAAAAAATATCACATGCATCAATGCTGTTGCGATCTGAGTGTTGCTTGAGCCAAAATGGCTACGCCGTCTCAGTTCCTCAGCAAACAGTTCGACTAGCTGCGCTAGGTCTACCACAAAATGTTGGGGGTGTTCCTTGGTTCTCCTTTAAACCGCTGGAAAAGGGCGGCATCCTCAAAGCACCACGAGCCATCCATGCGCTCCGCCTCCCCCGCATCCAGGAGACTTTGAAGCTCCTCGCCCACTGCCTGGCGCTCTCGGGAAAATCGATTCGTTGGAACCCAAACCAGCCGATGTTCAACCAAACCGCATAGTCTCTTCCAAAAATATACGCCCGGGTATACGCCCGGGTGGTATCCCCAACTACGCTCCGAAGCCTTTTGGACCCTCTCTTGCTCTGGATCACTCCAGGGCCTACCTGGGAGACTCCGAAGCTTCCAGCTGTTCACATCATCTTCCAACTCCTCTTGGTCGCGCATCTTTGTGGAGCCCCCAAACTCTGAAGCTGACGAGCGCGTTTGCGCCAAGTCTTACTTTCTCAGTCCCTGGATCTTTGAGGTGAATCTATTATGCCAACCTGGTCGTCAAATGAGAGCTTCCTGTTGGTGAAGGAATGGTTCAAATCCTGGGAAGCAGTTTGGCAGATTGGAGGAAGTCAACTCGCAGGCGTTTCTACGTTGACACATACCTAGTCACCTTTGGGGCCTTTGGAAAAACAGATACGTCCTGGTGGTACGTGACAACCAAGCTGAAACCAGAATGATTTGTTTCCACCCAAACTGAAACGATAACCGAACCGAACCCTCAGCCCAAGCATTGCCCCCCCCCTCCACAACCATCTCGCACTGCCTGCAACTCGCCTCGGAAGAGGCAGTGGGCATGTGTATATATATATATATGTACATACAAATAAAAGCACAATATATGAGTCTCAATCAAAACCCGGTATTAAAATGGTTGACCCAGAACCATGTAAGGAATTAAGAAGGCGGCCGCAGCTGTTTATGGTTGGGATTGTCCCTTACTAACCTTCATCCAACCGGATTTTGATTGTGGCTCATATCTTAGTCATTTCCGCCTGAATGGACACAAGGCGCCTTGTTTACACAGCGAATCAACGTAGGTGCATCTCAACAGGAGGGCGGTTTCGTCTTTCCGCGGGTCAGATTTCAACCTCCACTGTCAAATAGGGAGATGACTTGGTTTGCCTTTTGGAAAATTAGTCACTGCAGCAAATGCCAAAGGGCTGCAAGGATGTTGCCCTGTATTTAGACCAGGCTCTTGTGTGCTTGAAATGAGGTAGGTGATTTCCTTTTCAACCAAAACCATCCAAGGGCTCAGATTCCCATTTTTTTGCGAAACCCCACATGGACTCGGGAGGCGCACCGCAAACTTTTGCTTTGAAAACTGTGTGAAGCGTCCCCTTTTTGAACACACATCTGCTTGCTTCTCCAAATAGGGTCCCCTAAAACGGTGGCTTTCTGTTGGTCGTCCCTTTAAGTACGGTCCGCCATTTTCTCATCCTCCCGTGTGCCCTTTGCAGCTGGGCGAAAGTTTAGCTTGGAGGGCTAGAGTTGAAAAGAGGAAACCGTGACAATGAGTGATTCCCCTTGTAAACCCCTTTTCAAACCACCCTAAAAAAGGCACCCTCAAGAAAAGATACACCCAATGGCTGCCGAATTGCAAGCAGGAAGTATGGCAGAAGAAAGCATCGAACTTTTGATAGAGCTCAGCCAGGACATTGGGCAAAGAAGACTCAGAAGGGGGAGGCACCTGTTGCTCCATGATTTGCCGAGTTCTGTTTCTCTTGGTAAGACCTCCCCACTGCAGTCGATTGACAAAGGGTCCCAGATGCACCTGAAGGATTGCAGCAAATTGAAGATGCAGTGAACTGAAACTGGTTTGATGTGGCCATGGGTCAAAACCCAAATCGTGCCCCCAGTGAACATTTTCATTCTTACTATAGACTAAAATGGGGCACCTATCCCAAAAGAGGATCCCATTGGTTTTGAACCATGGCCATGTTGACATTGTTTAAGCCAGAACACGTGCAAAAAGAAGTGGGTAGCTCAGTCTTGCGCTCGCAAATGTTTGTGTGGTCTGCTTCTGCACCCGTTTTGGGTCATACAAACAGTTGCCCGGCTCTAAAGCCCACTCCCTGTGCCTGAGAATCCACCTCTCGAGAAAATACGGAGTTCAGACCCCATTGGCAAAAAGCCAAGAAAGACACATGTCGCAGTGACACAAACATAGGTCCTACCTTTCGGTTTTTTCAAAAATCGACTTTTTTCCCTGGTAGATTATTATGAAACAACCAATTTGGTCAACGGGGAAACTCGCCTTGCCATGTTCTACCACCAAAAAGGACGAGCCTCTGAGCATCTCTGGGCATGAAGCGGCTGGGCTCCCCGGGCCGTTCACTCGATCCCTGGTGTAGTCGTCCGGCTTGCCTGAGGGCGAAAAGAAAAGAAAAAAAACGGGTGATGGTGTTTTAGATATGCTAGATTATATAAAAGTTCAATGTAAAGGGGGAAAATGGTTGTATGATAAGATAAGGACTCTATTACTGCTAATACTCAGGGAAGCGGCCGTCTTCCGATGGATTCCACCCCCAGCTTTCCCCCCCGCCCCCCCGAATTCGAATTTGCATGTGAGTTGTTTTGTGCACGGATGCCCCAAATCAAATCCAAGAATTGGCCTTCGGAAGCACACGAAATGTTCACTGGGTTGGACCACACGGAGCTGGAGATGGGTCTGGGGGTGTCCCCTTTTTGTTGGCTTTTGATGGGAAACCAAAAAACCAAAGCATTATCCGCTTTGGAGGGTCCCCTAGAAAAGACATATCAGTATCATTTATGGAATTTACAACTCTTCCATGTGCATTACTCGTAGAGTTGCAAGAAAAAAAAAATGTCAAAAAGGGATGCTGAGCATGAACATTGTTGACATGCGACTACAAATAGTTTGACAACGCCTTGGCAAACGCTGACTAGCTGGTGGACACACGCTGCTTAGCTGGTGAATGCAGCATCATAATCAGCTCCATTGATATGAAACAAGACATATTGCTCATTCATATATTTCAATAATATGTGTGTTATCTTCTTCTTATTGTCCTTTACATGAATGATGATGAATATCTGGCCAGCCTCATGGGATCTTGCTAGACTTACCAAGAAGCCCTGATGCTCTGCACAGAATGAGCGCGGTGAAGTCACCATACCATGAACACACTGACCTACTGACCCGCCAGAAAGCCCCAACCACGGACTGGAGCTTTCGAGCCTTAGGCTTGGCCTCCGGGAGAAAAAAGAAGTTGTAATGCTGTAATGTTGACCCCGGATTCATAAACCCTTGTTTACTAATATAGGGGTGTTCCCCTCCAAAAGTGATAAATCCCCACTAAAACCAGTTGGACACCTCCCATATTAATAAACAGGGGGTTGATTAATCCAGGGTCAACAAGAGAATGGAATATTGGGCCCCTTCATCTTGCGCAAGGGTAGCTTGACTTGGTTGACATTGGAAGGGGGAAGTTGTTGGATTTCCCCTTAAACCACAATAATTAAGCAAACATGTAAAATGTTTCCCAACAACAGCCATGTTGAGGGCTCACAAGCAGGAACCTCCACCAGATCTTCGGTTGGTTGCACGGCCACCGGCTGGGCCGCCAGCTAGCTGCCAGACACTCACGCACCGTGTCATCCAGGTCGATGATCTGGAGCAATGTGGGCATGGCTCAAAATCCAAATCGTACCCGCAGTCGGTTTCGACAACCACAGCTATGTCGATCCTATGCCAACAGCCGGACGTTTCAAGTGTGATCCTCTTGCCGTGTCCGCCTTGAGACCAATGAATCCTGAGGCTTACCTTTTGCCTGGAAGGAGTTAAACTCTTAACAAGTTGTGCAGCCGTAAGGTCACTGGTGAATCCCAAACGATGGCAAGCCGACCTGACACGTTTTAAGTCTTCCGAGTGCTTGGCCACGTGAACTCTGGAACTCTCCTTCCCGCCTCGAGGTTGTAGGCCTCGGCGAGCCTTCTGGCAACCGTCTTCTTGCCTGACACGGAAAGCAACAAGAAACCAGGAACACAAACACAAGGCGGAACAAGAGCAACCGCAAACGCCTTCCATGATAGATGGCGTCTGAAGAAGGGATGGAGGATCCAAGGAGGTCCTTTCCAAGAATGCAGCTGTCGCATAGCCGGCAACAGAATAATGGCACTGCTCTGCTGCAAGAGTGGAAACCCAATGCAAAAATATCCAACCCATCACACACACTGGCTTCAGTTGCATGCCACTTTGCCGGCTGCAAATCAGTAGAAAGCAAGCAAAGCCCCTGCCGTGGCACTCAAGGATATGCCGTTTGCAGGACCAGCTTCCTTGTCTTAGTCCAAAGCATCCCAAAACGAGAAACGATTGCAAAGGGGCCCAGTTTCTGTTGTAATCTCAGGGTCCCAGATTCGATGGCCCCAGTGTCTTCCCTATGAGTTCTATTCTTTGCTTCGCCTGGGATTTTGTGTTTCACCCGTGTGGAACGGGCTCTTCCTCACTCAAAACTCCCGGTCTTCCCAGTAAAAAAGCCTTGCAGCCGTCGCAAGAAGCGGAAAGAAAACCAGCTCCCTCGAAGCCCGGCGTGCTCCCCGCCTGCGAAGGGCTTGCCCGTGATCACCAAGCGCAAAGGCACCTGGCGAAGAAAAGCGCGGCCCGCGGCCCGCGGCCCGCGGTTCGCCTCTCGGAGAAAAACGGGGTGGTTTGCCCAGAGAGCCAGCGGGGATTCCGGTGCTCCCTTGAAACCAACCTGAAAAGTGGGCTTCCCTCAAAAAGGGGCCCGGTTTTGGAGCCCGGTTTGGAGATTGTGGTTTCCCAGTTTCCCTCAACCAGAGGTTCAAGTCCCCAAGCCACCAATCCAAACCACCGGCCAAGCTGACCTGAGTTGTTCGGTTTCCACGCAAGCAAAACACACACACACACACACACCCTTTTCGGCTCCATAAAAAGTAGGAAGGGGCCCGAGTCTCCTACAGGTGTCCCTTGCTTCTAATGGCCCGCGTCTGCGCATCTGCAACTGCACAGTTTGAGGACGGCGTGTTGCTTGGAACCTCTTCGATCGCTCGCACGAGGTCCCGAGGACAGCCTTACTTGAAAAACCCGCATCTTTTCTTGCCCTTGTTTCTCGCCTGGGCAGGATTCGTGGCATCCGATTCTGTCAGATGATAGTCTGGAGAAATGACCTATGCTCACACTCTACAAATAGCAAACAACTCTCAGTTGTGCAAAGGCTCGCATTGCCCCCAAGACCATGTCACGCTGCACTGAAGACGACACAACAGTGACGTGTGCCGAAACTGGGGACCGCTCCACCCAATCCCCAAAAAATGCGCACACACACAATACACGCAACAACACACATACAACAAACAACACACACACAAGCACGCACAAACACACAACACAAAACGGCTCCCTCTTTTGGCGCTCTTGCCTGTGGCATGGCTGGCGGCGGCAATGGGGGAGACTCCTTGTACATCCTGGCGCGGCAGAATTTCCGAGCTCGGCCGATCTCAGCCGATCTCAGCCGCTGGTTCTGAGCATGTGGACTCTCCTTCCAGAAAGTTGGAGAAAATGGTTTTTTTGCTGAAAATAAGTCCCAAGCAACCAGTTTCAATGTTCCTTCATACACCACTCTAACCTTTTTCAGAGTTCCTTCCAATACCAACCAAAAGGCTGTGCTGTAGATCCCCCAGCAAAAAGTCTTTAACTTGCTGGTTGAAAGGAAATATGATGGGAATCCAAAAAGTTAAAGTCTAAAGATCCAACCAGGAGAGTCTTGTTGCCACCCGTTGTGAGAAAATTGGCGACCCCCTGAAAAAGGAATCCTTCACTACAAGGGGGTCGATCATTTTTCCACCTCTGAGGGGGCAAAAAAGGACCCCCCTGCTTCCAACAACCAACCAGAAGGCTTCACAAGCGACAAAAAAACACGGAGCCCAGGGCTCGCGTCCTTTTTTCCGTCGTAACGTCTGACATCAACAGCTGGCCCCGGCCTCATGGGATTGTCTCTAAAAAAAACCAAAAGCCAAAAAACACGAGTTTCATTTTGAGGATTTTTTTGGAGACCCCAAAAATATGTGTGGTGTCCTTTTGGTGTTCCCTTCAAACCACAAAGGGGATTCCCTCAAAAGAGGGAATCGCCCAAGCGCACACACACATACATTCCATGCTCCACGTCTCCCTTCGCTTTGTCCTTCCATCGGTTGCCCTCCGTGTTCGCACGGACCAGGCGACAGGTGAAATATTGGAGCACGTGCAACCCCTTCTCTCGCATGGGGAAGAGGAAGGATCGCATTCCCTGTCCAAGCGCTGCATCCCGGCCCCCCGCCTGTCGATCATGGATGACACGATGACGCCGAAGCGGTAGTTCACCTTGCGACGAGAGTAGAGGTTGGGCGCGTCCCCCAAAACCCACTGACTTTTGCTTCTAAGATGCTTATGGCTCATAATCTGCCACACCAAGCCGAGTTAGGTACCTGGAAACGGCCAACTTGAGGAGGGGGGGAGAAACGGGTGAAAGGGGGGTTGGCTGAAGTTGGGCCGTCTGCCGGCTGCGAAACGAAACGCACCTCCCCCTTTTGTGTAGCAAGCCAAATATCCCCACGTCTGAACGCGTCAAATTCGAGCAAAGGCGCCCGCAGGATTGCACAAGGCGCAGCGGCTTCTCTTTTCAGAACTACCGGACTAGACGGATCCGACCCTCTGCAAAAGTTGAGACTTGTTGCTGAACAAAGGGAAAAGGAAGGCAACCCAAAAGGGCGAAAGGTGAAACATGTTGAGTGCAGCCTGGCACTGTGGACTGGTGCAAAATGTATGCTGGCCTGTGGTGTATGTTACACGAAGAGTCAAGGGAAACGGAAATTCTGATGTCCAAAGGTTCCCATGTCCAAGTACAGTTCAAACCATGGCCATTCAACCTCCCCCCCCACCCCCCAGCCCAAAAGACACGCACACACACAAGCAAGCAAGAAAACAAGCACCGCTCCTCTGGATTATCAGCCCAAACCATGATCTTTCAGCTCCGAAAGAAAGGAATCTATTTCCATGCCTTTTTCATCATCCCACCGACCGGAAGGGAATTGTGCCATCTACTTTCACCCTGGTGTAGGTGGGCATTTGTTCCCGTGGTTGTAAGTGGGGGGTAACTGGGTAACTGGGGTAACTGGGGTAAGTGGGGTAACTGGGGTAGCTGGGGTATCTGGGGTAGCTGGGTTGGTTCCTAAACCCTGGCTGCACTCTGCGCGTGTGTTTGTTTGAGGCTACTCTTTCAAGTTTGGAAACCAAAAGGGCGGGCCCTGTTTTGACACCTACCGCATCTGCTTCCGTGGCCAGTATTGAGCCAGGGTGCCTGCCTTAACCTGCTAAATAGTTACATGTAACCTCGGTTATATGGGCAACTTCTTAGAGGGACTTTGTGTGTCTAACGCAAGGAAGTTTGAGGCAATAACAGGTCTGTGATGCCCTTAGATGTCCTGATGCGCTCAACATTTCCCAGCTTGGCGGCCATTTCTTTGAGAGGATCCGAGTCAATACTACGTGCTCCAGTAGAGAGGATAGAATAAAATGGTACCATTTTTTCAGTTTTGTCTATTTTAGTTGGGGGGGTTCCTCCCAACCAAACAAGCGGTGAGAAAGGGCACCTAGCTGGGGGACCTAGCATATAATTCAAACCCCCCATGGTTTCCTACAAGCTCCCCATGTTCCTTCCATTTCTCACTCCCATGACCCCTATAGACCATCCCCAAGTTGGTTTTAAGCAACCCCCATGGTTTCCTAGGGAATCCCCAGGTGACCCCTACAAACCGCCAGAGTCAAGCGACATTGCGCCAAAGCACTCCTCAGATCAACTAAGCAGACCCTCTACTAACCCTGCACCCACCCCGAAACCAACCCAATACCAACCCACTCCGAGTCAAGAGAATGGGCGAAATGAAAGGCTACCGCCAGGTGCCGCCGAAGTCACTGGCAGGCCATTCACAAAGTCCAGCTCCGCGGACATCTTCCCCACAAAGCTGATCTGCGCGGGGTGGCTCTGCTTTTTGACTACCCCAAAGTGGCTGAAACCCGGTGGGTCATGGGCCTCAAAAAAGGAACCATGTGCAGCTTTTGGACTTCCAAAGTTCTAGAGTTTGATTCCTTGTCCATTCTTTTCAGCCATCGTTCTTTTCAAAAACCGGATCTGTTTCCCCTGGGTTTTTGATGGTGTTCCTGAAAAGAAGGATCCCTGGAAAGAATGGGGAATGTAGCCCTCGAAAAGTGACTTCAACCCAGGGGTGGGTCATGGACCTCAAAAAAGGACCCCCTGGGTTTCAGTCTATTTGCAGGTGGTCAAAGAATGGATCTGCAGGGAGATCGGCTTCAAACCGGATTCGGATGCTTTGGGTGGGGCCTTTGTTGAGGTTTGTTCTAAAACAGAAACCTCAAAACACCACACATTTTCAGTGGGAACTCTTCTTGTGGTATTTGTTGAAGGGGAAGCGGGGAAACTACCTTTTGCGAGTTCGAAACCTTTGGAAGAGTCTGGACTCCTGTTGCACATTGGTGCCCCACCTTATTGAATGACATATCAAACATATGCCTTGTTGCAGCACATGGCAACAGCAAGCAAGCAAGCAAGCCAAGCCAAGCCAAGCCAAGCCAAGCCAAGCCAAGCCAAGCCAAGCCAAGGTAAGGTAAGAAAAGCAAGCAAGCAAAGAAAGCAAAGAAAGCAAAGCAAGCAAGCAAGCGAAGCAAGCGAGCAAGCAAAGCAAAGCAAGTAAGGCAAGGCAAGGCAAGGCAAGGCAAGGTAAGGCAAGGCAAGGTAAGGCAAGGCAAGGCAAGGCAAGGCAAGCAAGCAAAACAAACAAAGAAAGCAAGCAACCTGGCACACACACACACAAACACACACACACACAAATACACAAATACACACAAATACACACAAATACACACAAATACACACAAATACACACAAATACACACAAATACACACAAATACACACAAATAAACAAACCCAGAGAAACATAAACTCGCAAGCACAAGCACACCACAAGACGTTACATCACAAACCTCAAAGCAAGCAAAATGGGTACTCAAAAGAAAAAACACACACACACACACCCGTGCACACTGGGACGATCAGCTGCCACCCCCACCCCAGCCGTCTCTCGGCTTTTCCACCGGCGAGTTCTGAAATCGATCGATCTGCGTGCGAAAAGGCCCAGAGAACGGCGCCATGGAAGGGGTTCTCAGCTTAGCTGTTGCCAAGGCGATGGGTTGATCACGTGGATTGACCACAGCCCTGCGTGACAACGAAATCCCTTTTTGGGCGTTTGTGTCATGCGGGAATCAGGTCGAAATCACCTGCAGATCGCAGTGAGTTTACTTCTCGCGCCGAGAGAACATGTCACAAGACGTCCTCCGGACCATTGGGGTCTGAGCGAACTCCCAATCTCCATGGGAAACGCTTCGCCCAGTGAAACTTCAGCCGTTTTCGGCCTGAGTGTGAGACACCAGTTGGTCCAAACGTGACACTTGATTTTCTTGGAGACATGAAACACCCCCTACCACCATACCAGTTCCGAGACTCATCAGGGTGCGGGAATAGAAAAGCCTAAGCCTGAGGTCAAAACGTGGGGCCAGGTGAGGTCTGGTGAAAACGTCCAAGGCCAACGGCCAACTCCCCCCGCATACATAAGGCAATAAGGCCACCTCTACAAAGGGGGGGAGGGGGGGGCCAACAATTTGCAGGGATTAAAGGAATGACCCTAACCATCCCCAACTCCCTTTTGATGGCCTGAGAACCAAGACGAACCTCAGGTTTTTAAACCACTACCTTCCAGCTTAAGCACCTCAACTGGGGCCTTCTCTGCCCAAAAGACCACACACCTGTTGCATATTCAATGGACTGGCTCCTTACAAAATTGTGGGGTTTCACTCACGAAGATATTCGAACATTCCCCCGCTGTTTTTTTCGCTCCAAGAGGTTTGCACAACTCCTAAACCGCTACCCCCCCCCCCCCAGCAAAGCAGAAAGGTGTATTTGGGTGGCTCGTCGGTTTGGGGTACCCCCAACAATGGCAACAGTTTCCTTTTGGTTGCCCTTCAAAACTATCAAAAAAAAGATTCACAGAAAGGCGACATGTTCATGTACCCTTTGTCCGTGTCTTTTTCGTGGTCGAACCCCCCGTTGCCCCTCGAAAAGTGGCTTGGAGTGGAACCCCGTAGCTGGCTGCCGGAAAACCTCGCTTGTTGGTTTCAGTAGATGAAGTGGGTTTACTTGGTTCGAATGTGCTGCAACAATTGGATTCACCCCCTCTTTCAAAGTCGTTTCTAGGGAAATCCAGTGACCGAGCCCTGTTTTTTTGCTCCGAAGCCAGCTGCAATTCGCCTGTTGTTTGGACCACCCTGGGGTTCAGCTACCACCATTAAAACGATGGTTGGGTTCATATATTTCACCCCCTTTGTTTACCTTTCAGCATTCTCATCCTCTAGTGTGAGTCCTTGCCTTTCTTTTACTAGGGGCTTTGGGAACCCTAGGGCACCGAAATCTTGCGAACAAGAAAGCAGTTGAACCCATTGCCACTTCGGCATCGTCTTTGAGACAAAAAACACTGGGCCTAGTGGAAAACAAACAATATGGACCCCAGAAAACAACACGGGGAGCCAATTCTGCAGGGATTGGTCTTGGAATTCCAGTAGTGATAGAATCCCTTTAAAACCAGCAGGGGAAAATGGCAACTATTATTTTCAGCAAATGGAAGAAATGGGACACTGCACCTTTTGGGAGTCCCCCCGTTGCTCGAAGCTCGCAGGAGTTGCTTTCAGGAGCACAAACGACAGCTTTGGGGCCCACTTCTGAATTCCAAATGAGCCATGATCCTACACGTGTCATGATTTGCTTTGCCGTATCATTTTGCTTACGCAACTAGCTTACGCCACCTTATGCACAGGTCGATATGACGCCAGGTCACAAACTCCAAATGTGTCAAATCCAAACGGAAGAATTGGGACCCCGCGCCCAGCGAATATTCAGGTCACGTCCAGCACTTTGCGACGCCGCCACCAGCTCCCGCGCTCCCAGAGCGCCTCCTCCGACTCGGAGTCCTCGCCGACGCCGAAGCCGGGGGTAGCCACGGGTGGCCCCGTGGCTCCGCTACACCCGGGGGAAAAAGAGGGATTCTCTTTATGTAGTGAATGATGTTTGTACACATAATATACATGAATATATATATATATATATAGGAAAATACATGCAAATATAGATATATATATATATACGTGTCAATATGCATATATATATATAGTTATATGTATGTACGCATTCTTTCCACTTATATGTATATCCCATTTCCACCCCCGCGGGGGGAACAAAGTCCCAGTAGTTCAGTCACCCGAAACGTAGAGGTCAAGAATTGGGGCCTACGAGTTTTGGATTTTAGAAGTGGTGAACTCCGGGGAAAAGCGCCGAGACGGCAAACAAACCGAGAGAACATCAAGCAACGCATTGAGCCGATGTTTTAACCTTCATGATTCGGACAATATGAAGTTGCCAGTGCCATCCCGGACATGCTGTAGGTACAACGACTGCGCACCTCAGGTGAAGCTTTTATTCTTCGCAAATTCGTATGCCAACATCCTGTTAACCTGTGCGTGAGCCTCAGCCACCAAGGCAAGCAGCAACGCACGGGCTGGAGTCCTGTGCTCTCTCAGTTAAGATGTGTGTGTGTGTATATTTTTGGGGTCCCCATTTGTCCTTATTTGAGATATAGCTTTAGCCCCATGATCCTAATTGGGTTCTAGCAAATAGGCTCTAAGATGCTACACGCATGATTCTGCTTTGGTGCAAGCTGGCCTGTCTATTACTGTACATCAGCTTCCCTCTAATTGTCGGTTTGGATTGGTGGTCAGGTGTTAAGGGTGGCTTCCCATTCACCCTCTACAAGAACCAGAGGTTCAAACCCCAAACCACCAATCCAAACCACCAACCAAGGGTAAACCTGGCTCCGTAGGTTTGGGGCCCCTTGAATTGCAGGACCGGCAAGAGTCGAGGGATGGCTACTCGCACCGACGCTCGCCCGATTGTCGGGCCTCAGTGCGCTCTTTGCAAGTGCAGGCAGCCCATTCCTCGATTTGGGGCGGAGGCAGAGAAGAAAAAGTTGGTCCCAATGAAAGTACTGGATTTCCCCCTCAAGAGGTGCAAATGATTGCTGGGTTCCATTGAAACGATCGCCTGTTTTGAAGGTTCCAAAAGGAGAAATGGCTCGGAAACCTTGGAGTAGAGCCTTGAGATCCAAACTGAATGTATTCAACGCCTGTGCATCTCGAATCTGGTTAGCACCTTGCCAAGCGACAAGAACCGTCCAGGGTGCAACCTGACATATCTCTGTGGGCCCTTTCTCAGTCATGTAAGAATGTCTGCGAAAAGAAATAACCGAGAGTCTCTGATTCGGACATATTAACACAAGATGTTGGTGATGTGCGTTCACAGCTCTTCCAGCGAGACCCCGGCTACGCTTCATGAGGGCGGGCTTAAGGCGTGGGTTTAGGCTTAGGGTAGGTTTTGGCGTGGGTGTCAAGGTGTGCAGGGTAAGTCTAGGGAGTGGGTTTAGGGCGGGCTTAGGGTATCACACACCAAGATTAGGCAGACTGTTCAGTCGCTCCCCTCGCATCCATGCACGTGCCTCAAAAGCAAGTCTACAAGTTGTGGACAAGCAACTGTTGACACAATCCGAACTGTACTTCCCCATCCTTTCGAGGGGTCTGAACAACTAGGGAATCCAGCCCGTTGCATAATCGCTTTGCTTGGGCTGACATGCAGCACAGGGGTCCTTCTTTTGGAAAACTGCTCCAAAATCCCGGAATGACTGATGGCTTCCCAACCCAACGATGGATTCAGCGCCCCTCTAGTTGGTGGTTTGATGTTTGGTGCTTTGATGTTTGGCGGTTCGGGGAGAAACGCCAGTAGTGGGAAGTGGCGTTGTTTTTGTTCGGTGTTGAAATCATGTTGCATGTGTTTCAGTAAATGTGGGCCAAGAAGTTCTTGGGAAGGCCGGAAACGGCAAACAAAGAACACGAGGCGTCCAGCTTTGTTTTGTGCGCGTTGAAGGATGTGCTGTCGCACAGGGGTCACTGGATTAAACTTGCTCCGTTGCAATTTACTGGAGGTCCAAAAAGGGAGATGGAAGAACGCCTGCAACTGCACCACCTCCTTCTAGTTGCCTCTTAAACCCAAAGCCCCCAAAGCCCCAAAGCCCCCCAAAGCCCCCAAAAGCCCGAGGTTAGTTGGCTGCCTCTTGGTGGCCTACCATCCCAAAGCCCAACGGCGCCGCTTGCGGTCGCCTACTTCCCTCTTCCCAGCCCAAGCGTCGTACTCGTACAGCTCAACCTTGAGAGCCTCCGACGCGTCCAGCTCCTGAGCCTCCGGGAAGCTTGGAACTGGTGGTGCTTCAGGGAATGGGAAAAATGGGGGTCTCAAAAAAAGGGTACTCAAATACACAGGATTCTCAAAAAAGGGTTCTCAAATACACAGGATTCTCAAATAGGGTTCCTAGAAAACATGTTTCTCAATTCTCCAGTCTGGCCGGTGGTTCTCAAATATGGCCTGTCGTCAAACAATTGGCCCCCTTTGCCGCATTGTGCTGCCTTGTGCCGCCTTTTAAGAGGGATACGCAACAGGACCCCGGTCTTTTGACGTCTCAATTTGGGTTCTCAAACAGGGTTCTGTAGGGATCAGACACTTGCAGGCGGGGGAAGGGAAACCAGTTAAGGAAGCCACCACTATGGTTCAGTCACAAACCGACCACTACCAACACACTCCAAACTCGGTAGGCCTGCATAAACCCCTGTTCAACGCAAACGGATCCCAACAGCACAAGCCACCTGGCCTACCATCTCTGATAGCACCGCGGCCTTTGCGGCTTGCTTGAAACAGAGGCCCTGCGCAAGAACACGAGCTGTGCCCCCGAAAAGCCTTCGATTCTTCCTTGGCATCATTGCGACATGTCTTGTTTCAGGGTCCCCTTTTTCAGGTCTTGTGGGGAAACCAAAAGAAACAACGTTACGCCATGTTGGGGTTCCCAACCTTGAAAAGGACGACGCACCTTGCTGAAATGCATCTGGTCAATCAGGAATCTGGAGAGGGGGATATGGGCCCTGCGCCAGCGAAAAAGCGGGGCCTGGAGCAGCGCGACCACCGCTGGCTCTCTGCGCTTCAGCTTCGCGAGGAAGAGGTTGAACCACTCCTCCGGGTCCCGGGTGCGCCGTTTTTGGGGGGTCTCTTAGGTTTCTCTTTCTGACTATACCAGGGGGTGTCTTGCTTTTTGCTTATCTTATCGCCTGTTCCTCGGTGTTCGTCTAAGCTTGCATCATGTGTTGTGGAACTGGTCTGACGGTCTTCTTCCCCCCTCCGCCTGCCTCAATTTCTCCAATGTCTCCACTTGCCGCAATTTGTTCGCTTGAAGGAATTCCTTTTGTGGGACTCTGTTCCCGATAAACAACATGGTCAAAGTGTGAACATCCCTGGTCCAAAAACTAGGCACGACATCTTCCCTCCTTCACAAAAGGCATGCTTTGTCTTACTCCATCTACTGAATGTACTACTCCCCCCCCCCAAACCTCCGTCACCAGTTCCGGTGGACACATAGAGTCTACTTGGCAACCTACTTGTTTCTCGGCTCTTCTCGGCTTAAAATCGGCGAGAATCCGTGCCCATCCCGAATCCAATGGCCCAACTCTGCACACCAAGGTCTTCGATTCTACTCGCTTGGGACCCCAAAATGATGGTGCTCTTGTTACCTTCCACAAAAGCCAGAAAGACGGGTGCGCAGGCTTCGTCAACCCTTAGCTAAGCCGAGACGAAGTAAACCCCCCACCCTCCAGCCACCCCACTCCCCCCCCGCTCCGGCGCCGCCGCCATGGGCCGCAGCCGGAGCCGCCTTTGCAGCTCCAGGGACCGCTGGGAGCCCATGCGCACCGCGCAGAGCCACAGCAGCCAGTCCAGCCGCGGCAGGTGCCACCAAAGCCAGCGCCAGGACCTGAGGCGTCGCGGAGGGTTTTTCTGCGGATGGAGCTCGTCTCGTGAAATCCACCTGAGAGTCCCTGGAATGACGGAGAAAAACAAGCTGGAAAATAGCAACGTTATGGTTTCAACCGTGGCTTCAAAGTGGCGCAGGAGTGTTGAGAAGCCCAGTGGAATGATTCAATCCCGCTGGATGCCAACAAGCCTTATGGTTTCAACTGCAGCTTATGTGGTGCGAACGGATTTCGCAACCATCCACAGTAGCTCTCAATGCAGTGTTTTTCCCGCTTTGCCCATGTTGCACCTAAGTGCCTTTTGTAGTTTGCTCCCTTTTTCTCGGGTTACCGACTGACCCTGGCGAGTGGTTTGGGGGTTTGGAGTTGAACCCGGTCTTGTGGGCAAATGGAAACCCTTTTCACACCGAACAACTGGGCTCCAAACCACCAACAAGAGGTAAGCTGGTTCTAAGCCGCTGTACCAAAGCAACCTGGGAAAAACGACAGACTCTCTCTGTGTTTGAACGCTCAGCCACTTTCGCAAAGCCATAGGCGGCATTCGTTTTGACCAAACCTTGATATGGTCCCAATGATTCCATTCTATAGGTAGCCCGCGTTTACCAAGGTTCACAGTTCCCTTTTGGTTGCCTCTAGCGGAACCTGGATCCCTTGGGTCTTGGACCCGCAAGTTGTTCAGCCGAGAAAACAAAAGTCCCTCAGGAACTTGGACGACTTGGACGACATGGACAGGCAAGACATCTTGACCGGAAGCTTTGGGGAGTTGCTCTGGGAGCCGAGGGGAAGGCGACAGGGACGAGTAGTTGTGGTAGTTTCGACGGGTCCAACAGGGCGCGCCCATGGAACAAGACAGCTCGGAAGTCTCGTGCAGATGGGAGCACTCTTGCAAGCTGAATGTGGGCATGAATCGGCAAAACAAGCCAAATATATGTGCATGCATGTGTTTGTGCGTTTGTCAATATCAATATATATATATATATATATCCCTTAGCCATCCAAGGGGCTCCCTGATTCGAGGCATGTTGCTCAGAGACGAGATGCAGCATTGTTGTCAAGCTTTTTCTGAGAACTTAGAGTTCGATGCACTGCAATTACCTTCTGAAGCCACCTGGTGATGGCCCGAGAGAAGCAAAGAAAGCTTCAAAAGAGCTTCACAGGAACAGTCTCCTTCGAACATCGCGGCCAGAGCGTCCTTCAAAATCGGGCACCCAAGTACTTTGGTCACATGCGAAGTACAGATAGCGGCACAGCATGCAAAAGGGGCATCGGCATAGGTATCCTTTTTGGGAAATAGATGGCCCTGTTAATTTATTGAACCACCAGGTAAACCAGGAATCGCCCTCTATTTGTCAACCAAATCAACCAAAAAGGACACCTATGCAAAGTGGTCTTGTTAACACCCGCCAGGCCCTTCCCCATGCCCGAGCATTATTTTTTTGCTTCTGAGCCACATGCGATTCACATCCCCTGGCTTGTACCTGGCGGAAAACGTGTCTTCGGGCGGTGGCCAACTGGCATGGGACCTCCGTTTCCTCCATTTGCTTGAGTCCCCTGGAAAAAAATATAAATGATTCCAGTAGTGATGGATTCCTTTTAAAACCAACAGGGGAAAATGGAACATATTCTTAACCAAGTAGAAGATTTCTGTATGGCAACTTGGTGTACCCAAAGTCATCGCCCTAGCAGATGAAGGTGAGCCTTGGCTTGCACATCTGACCCCCCGAAATAAGGCGCCAACACCTCGCCCTGTCAACGAACAGGCAAGCTCCCACATGTCGCTTCCCAGACACGCGCACCGGCTCTCTCCCTCAAAACAGACACAAAAGAAAGGCAAATGGTGGCCCACTGAGGGGGCCACATTTGGTTCCCGGCAAAATCGACACACACACACACACACAAACAAAGGCAAATCTCGGTTGCTTTCTGCTCCCCTGCGAAAAGTGACTAACTTTTCGTGGTTTAATTCGGAAAACCCCTCAGTTGGCAAAAAGTTAAAGTCCTAACATCCATGCAAAACTCGCCAAAGAAATGGTGGCCCACTGAGGGGGCCGCATTTGTTTCCCGGCATCGGATCTTGCGAGCGCCCGACTTTGGAAGCGCTGGTTCAAGCCGCGATCCACTGCATGGACTTGTGACGCCTAATATTGCCTGGACATGTTGCCTGTTGTGGTCTCATGGCGGATGTTGCAAAGGGTGAAAAATACAGAAGGAACTGAGAAACTTCTTGTCCAATCTGAAAAATCCGAAATGTATGAAAGTGCATGGTTTGGCTTGTTCATTCTGACGCCACAAGCGAGAAACAGCTCCTCAAACAGCATTGCCAGTATCGCCATGAGTGCACTGGTTCTGGCGGATAATGTCCAAAGGTGTTGCTCTTCAGGATTGGTTACCTCAGGTGTCAAGCGAAGCCAACGGGGAGACATTCTATTCTATGGGGTTCCCCAACACGAGCCCCAAGACACTGTTTGAAATCAATCTGCAATGAGAAGGTTCCGTGGCAACGTGCCGCCACACGTTGCATCACAACCTCCCTCGTGTCCGAGCAAACATCTCGCCCTGGAATTGGCAGAAAAACATGTTGAAAGCGAACCCTCCGCCCTCGCCAAACAGCACGCTGACAAGCCCACCGGACCGGAAAAACAATTTTCCTGCCGCCCAAAGGGCCGAAGAGTCATCAGCAATAATCGGCTTCCGGGCTTGGCTACTTCAAAATGCCCTGGCTCTCCACAATAAGCAACACGCAACCGGCCCCCACCCACCAAGCAAAAAGCTAAAACTCCAAAACTCCCCCCCAAAAAAAAAAACAAAAAACAACGCAAAAAGAAGCAATAACTCCCACAAATCTAGGGTGTGATTCCCCATTCTTTTCAGCCATCGTTCTTTCCAAAAACCAGATCCATTTCCCCAGGGTTTCCGGAGGTTTTCTAGAAAGATTCGGATCCCTGGAAAGAATGGGGCGGGTACCCCTAGAATATGGGTCTTCTTTGTTTAAGGGACCCACCAAAATGGAGGTTTATCCTTTTGGTCTCCCTTTTTCAACACAAACAACAAGGGAGCACCCTCAAAAAACGGCCACGGCCATATGAACCCAAAACATCCCAAAACCCCCCCGGCCTGTGGCGAAGCTCTTGCCACTGGCCCTGCTTCTGCTGCGAGATCACCAGCTCCAGCCGTTTCTGGCGGAGTTCGCGGGGACTCCGCGGTGATTCTCCCAAAAAGAACCGCGGATGGACAGAGGGAGGGGGGGGCCGGGGGGAGGGGAAGCGGGGGGCCGGGGGGAGGGGAAGCGGGGGGCCGGGGGGAGGGGGGGGCAGGGTATGATGGACACTGAACGGGTCTATTCTACACCTTGATTTAGGGCATTAGTTTTTGAGGGTTCTTCTCTCAAAGTGTCATTGGCTTTAGGATTCTTGGCTCGTGTCCATACGGGCGGGTCCCTCCAAAAGCGATGATCCCACCAGGGGACAGTCACCGTTCAGAAACCCAACGGAATGACTCAAAATGTCGCTGTAAACTAAAAACAACAACAAAGGTTGTGGTTTCATGGTGCAGGATCTCGTCCATGTAGGGGACTCCAAAAACATGGCAACCGCTTCCCCTTCAAACCACTCAAAAGAAGGCTCCCTGCGAAATGGGTGCATCTTTTTTTTTTTTCGGGGACCCCCCCAAGAAGGCCACCCCCCATGTGGCAGCTGGAAGCAGCCGAAACGCAGTGCTTGCCTTCACCAAACGGAACCATTTTCCAGAAGCCGAAACGTGGAGTTTGGATCTTTGGATGGTCGTTCTGTCCTTCGGAGACAGTCCTTGCTTGATGGGAAATGGCAAACTGGCATTCCGAGGAGCAAGGATGCTCAAATGGATCCGTCTTTTGATGCTAGCCCTGCTTTGCCGGTTTTGCAGGGAAACCACAAGGAAAACCGAAATCATGTTGGGGAACCGTTTGGGAGGGTACCTTTAAAAAGACATACCCAGATAGTTTGAGCCGAAAGAACCTCACAAAAGAGACAATGCCTCCTTGGTTCATGATGTGTTCAGGTTGCTGGACAACCTGTCAAGAGACTTTGCTGGACAACCTGTCAAGAGACTTCCTGAAACCCATCCAAAAGGCTGGATTCGCTTTTATGCCTGGAAACATGGCGACGGCGGCTGAAGAGCAAGATCAAGCGTTGCCGCTCATAGCCAGTAGCTTTGACAGAAGACTTTCAGCTGAAGTCTTGGCCGACGTCTCTTGTGGGAATTGGCCTCCTCCCCAAACCTTGTGGCGTCAACGCCTGGACCCCTTGGCCAAGTCCATCCCATTCAGGGGTCTGGATTTTCCGCCGCAAGGTTGCAGTCTGGTGAGTTCCATTGAAACGATCGCCAAGTGTGGAGCTTCCGAAAAAAGGACGTCCTCCAGTAGAGAGGTTGGAGCAGGGGTGCCCCTTTTTTCTGTAGTTTATTTTAGTAGGGGAACCCTCCCAACCAAAAGTAGAAACGGAAGAAGGGGCCCTAGCTGGGGGACCTAGTGGAGGAAACCCCCGCCATTGCCTCGCCTTCTCCACGTGCCCAAAGAGGCCATAGCTGCCACACGCGCCCACTTGCCGCAGGAGCCGCATGCCCCGCAGCCAGCGCTGCCATCCGGGCGCCTGAACACCCGCGGCTCGATCCCACCAGTTTTACCTCGGTTGCTTTCGGCTCCCCTGCTAAACGTTTAACTTTTAGTCGTTTCATGGAAAGCCCATTAGTTGGCAAAAAGTTAAAGCCCTAACATCCAAGCAAAATGCACCAAAGTTACTTTGCAGCCACCCCTCAGAGTGGTATTCAGATTGTTTGATTCAGGGTTTGTATTTAGGGGTGGTACTTAGGGGTGGTTGTTGGGGGTGGTATTTAGAGTTGGTACTGTGGAGGGACAAGTGACAAGAGTTGTTCCAGCCATAGAGCTTCATCCATCCCAACTGGTGGATATTGTCAGAAACTGACTTTGGTCTGCAGGAATCTTAAGGCTGTAGTTAACATCAGCCGCCCTGAAACCGCGGAAGGCAAAATCAGCGAGTCTTTCTACGACAGGCGCAGGCGGCTGGCGGCATTGTCGCAGGTTGCGGGGATTTAGCTGGAGGAAGCTGATTCTTGAACTGCAAGCTTTCGCAACAAGCACAAGTCCTGGTGCTTTGTGCCGTCCCACCTTTGTGATAATGCTTTCCTGGGCTTGCTGGAACACACCGGAAAGCAGGCAGGCTGCAGCACATGCGCAGCAAATGGAAGGCCTGCGGCTTGGCTGAGGCTCAGATCGACACTGGCGGCCCAAGCCGCCAAATTCGTAGCCACTCAATTGCCATGAGCACGTTGGATGAAGCAAACGACAAAGGTTGCTTTCTAACCAACTACCCAAGACCCAATTCCTGCCTTGCGCTTTGCGCTTTGCGGGCCAAGATGCAAACAGCATCAGCTCGCCTCAAGATTTTAGCTCTCGAACCAAGACTTACCTTGCAAGGCTCTCGGCCATTCCCGAGCCAAAGGCTTGAAGCCTAAAAGCTCGGGCAAAGTTGTTGAACACCTCGCAAATCGCGAGCGTCCTCGAATTGCTTGGCGTGCTTCACCCTTGACCAACTGCCAGCGACTTGTTTTCTTTCAACCAGCTGGTTGAGCTGCTTGAGTACCGAAAGCCCACCGGACGCCGACGCAGCAGCGCCTCGCCGCCTCCGTGCGCCGCCTTGGAAGCCGCTTGCGCCGGGCTCGGCGCCCCCGAAGTGGCTCGCACTGGAAATGCCGGTCAGCCGGTCAGCTCAAAGAACAAGATTTACCCAAGGCGTGGAAGAAAGAGCAGGTTTAAGCAGGGTGCAAAAGATGAGGAGAATCGGCCACCCTTGGCAGGCCGACCCAAAACTGAGGGGCAAAAGTAGGGCGGCGGCAAACTGTCACGCCGCTGTCCTCAATTTATTGGAACGTCACGGCGAAGGTGGTCAGCTTCAATCGGCGCAACTCGTTCGATGCGCCATTCAAACTGCACCCAGCATGAATTGTGCTGATGTACGTCCTGATGCACATGTATAAACACTCATATCAAAGCAACATCACGTTTTGCGCAGCCTTGGATCTCGACTCAAAAGCCCCCTGCTCAAGCGGCCACGGGTGCACTGGCCATATGTCTGTGAGTTGCGATACCTACGGCGACCCTGGCACCTGCAGCTGAAGTGAAGCAAGCTAGACCACATGCAGTCGGCCAATGATGTTGGCTCGAGAACAAATCCAGCGCTACGGCCAGCTGCAAGTCAAGCCTGTACAGCTCGCGCTTTCAGCTGCGCACTGGGCAAGGCAAAGCTGCTCGTCGCAACATGGCGACGCCGGACGGGATAGGAAGAAATTTGCTCCAAGTTTCGGCAAAGGACAGAGCCCTCACAAGTGCGCTGCCAGAACCCGCTCGAAACAATGGCCTCGGGGGTGTACCTAGGCTTCGGGAGTGGAAAGGCGGTTGGAGGCCTTGAGGCAGGCTGCTTTCGGTTGCATCCATGGCCAGAGTTTTCAAGCCCTGCGCCAGGGCTCGTTCAGGCGCGAAGTTCGAAGTCTTGAATTTGGCCATGTGCAAACCTGCGATTCCGAGGTGGCAGTTGGTGGCTTGGACGCCGTTGCAGAAATTTTCGTGAGGCGCAACTCCCAAAGCTTGCCGCAGGCCTGCACAGCTAGGCCCCAGCTCAGCGGATGGTCACAGCAAGCTGGGCCCCCAGCTTAGATGCGACGCGACATCTTTGCAAGAATCCGACCAAGCTTTGCGGCTGCAGGCGTCGACGCTTAACGGAACTCGTCGCACATCGAGGCGGTTTCAACTCCACCCACCACGCGAAAGTCCCGCACGAGTCGGGCAAGCCAAGTTGCCAGCCATGAGCGGCACCCAGCCACGCATGGCCTCTGCGCAACTGGGACGAAGTGCTGCGCGCCCCGTCCGCCAAGCCAAGGTCTGAGCGCCCATCAGCTGCTTCAAACTCTTCTTGTCAAGCTGGCCGCGGAGGAAAATGGCGCACAGTCCGCGCCGGCGCTTTAACATTCCGGACTTGAAGCGACGCAATCCAAAGGCTTGTCGGGGGCCCAAGTTGGCCGGGCAGAGAACTCCGTCGCGACCCCAAGTTCTTCAGTGCCGCGTCACCGGAAGACGTGCCAGCCTAAACCAGAACGCAGATTTCCATGGACATTACCGCCGGGTTATGTTGGAGCACCCGTCTCTCACAGTCAAGGTACGAGCATGGCCACATAGCGACCAGCGCCTTCCGTCTGCTGCCAGATTACTTTACGGAACCAAACAAGAAACACACAGAGACAGTTCCGTCGTCAGCGCTCAAGAGCAAGGCCTAGTTCTCGCCCCTTGGCGCAAGTCCACCGATTCATCCCAAAGCTTTCAACCGTTGCCTCCTGCTCAGTGGACTTACTAGCAGGAAATGATCTGTTGGGCGTGGCTTCCCTTGGGGCAAAACACATTGGCAGTTTTCCGCATTTTTCGAGGGCACCCGTTTGGTGCGGTTTTGGAGGGAAACCAAACTTGTCCCACCCAACTGGCAAGCGAAAACCCACGCCTCTGGGGCGTCGGCGCTGGGCCGGCTAAAGCCATCCTGGCAGATTCTGGCAGATGGCTTTAGAAGACGATGCCCAATGGGCTCGCCATGGACCAAGCTGCCCCTTACCTTCAGCACGATAGGCTTTGAGCATCACGCCAAAACCAAACCTCATGCCAAAAAAAATCAATGGTGCTTAACCCCCGCCCAAACGCACACAGACACACAGACACACAGACACACAGACACACAGACACACAGACACACAGACACACAGACACACAGGCACACAGGCACACAGGCACACAGGCACACAGGCACACAGGCACACAGGCACACAGGCACACACACAGGCACACAGGCACACAGGCACACACACAGGCACACAGGCACACAGGCACACAGGCACACAGGCACACAGGCACACAGGCACACAGGCACACAGGCACACAGGCACACAGGCACACAGGCACACAGGCACACAGGCACACAGGCACACAGGCACACAGGCACACAGGCACACAGACACACAGACACACAGACACACAGACACACAGACACACAGACACACAGACACACAGACACACAGACACACAGACACACAGACACACAGACACACAGACACACAGACACACAGACACACAGACACACAGACACACAGACACACAGACACACAGACACACAGACACACAGACACACAGACACACAGACACACAGACACACAGACACACAGACACACAGACACACAGACACACAGACACACAGACACACAGACACACAGACACACAGACACACAGACACACAGACACACAGACACACAGACACACAGACACACAGACACACAAACACACACACACACACACACACACACCCTCCCCCCCCCAAACAAGAAACAAACAAAAAGAAAGAAATGCAACATGCGGGAAGAAAGACCGCTTCCCCTCTGACCCTCTTTGGGGCCAGTGCGGCCACCCAATGACCAGGTAGAGGGCATTGCACCCGCCCGCTCGCTGCGTGAAACCAACACCAAGGTCTCGGTGAGCCGAGAGAACCGCCGCAAAAAACACGTGGCGTTGTGCTTTCTTCTTATCATAGACGGTGTGGCGCAGTGACCGGACCCGTTTTCACGTAGCTCAGCTTAGGTTGATTTTTGAGTTGCTGGCTTCAAGTGGGAAAGGACTTGCAACAGCATCTGGCGATCTTGAACAAAGTGTGACTTGCATTGAACCTCAGACATGTCCAATGGTTCGTCTGGTTGCATGACTTCGTCTGATATCCAGATTGTAAGCTGGAAGTGGAAGATGAACTCATTGCTCTCTCGCTTCTCAAAGTAGGGGTTCTCGAAAATGGTTGGCTTGGCTTCCTTCTGGCTCCCAAAGCCAACCAAACGGACATTCCCCCCAAAAAAAGAACACAAAAGGAAGAAAAGCGGCCTAAAAAAGTAATCCCCCCCCCCCCCCACCACCCCCCCACCCACCCCCCACCCACCCAATCCTCACCCACCCAATCCTCACCCACCCACCCACCCACCCACCCACCCACCCACTAAACCACTAAACGCCCCGGTCCATGAGCACCACCACGTTCTCCAGGGCATAGCACCCCACCAGCAAAGCCAAGAGCGTCATGAAGGCCGTCTCGCAGATTTGCAGTATTAGCGGCTCCTCGCCCCCAGTTCTGGGGGTTGGGAGCCCCCCCCTGGACAGCGCGCTAGGGACTACCAAATATGGAGCAGATGGGAATGGAGCATAGGGGTTGATTCCTCATTCTTTTCAACCATCGTTCTTTCCAAAAACCGATCGCTGCTTCCCCTAGGCTCTGCTGGTTTTCCGGAAAGAAGGATCACTGGAAAGAATGGGGAAGTGTCCCCTAGACCAGTTGTTCGGACTGCTTCTCCAAGGAAAGCGGTCCCGGAAAAGAGAATCCACAGCTGGAAGTCGCCTTGTTAGGCTAGCGGGGGCGAAAACGGAATTTGGACTTCCGGTTTTCCAGTTGGTGGCTCGTTTAACCAAGGGGTAGCCTCGAAAAGATGTACATCTCTTTTGGGGAAGGACCACTTGGCAGCAGAAATGCGGAAAAAGCGTGGGCTTGGCCTTTTGCCCGCAAAGCTTGTGGGCCCACAAAACAAAGTTCTGCGCCTGGCACGCCGGGGTGGGGGGCAGCGATTGCTTTAACCCTGAAGCGCGGGTCAAATTCGCAGGGTAGAAAACCCCACCGTTGGCGTTTATGCCAAGCATGAAAGCACGGCTAAGTACGCACAACTTTGCATGGACAAGGCAAACAGCAACCGAGAACGCACTCTGCAAGGGACCAAGCCCCACTTCTCAACCGAAGGCGGGGCTGTGTGCTCCAGTTGTTCCTGCGGAGAGCCACGCGTGGCACAAAGCCCAAAGTGGACACGTCCCAGTCAGAAAGGGCAAGAATTCCGTCCCAAATGCCTACACATAGCCATCGCACACCGGCCCTGTTTGCAGGATGGCTGCCAGGTGACCCTCATTCGGTAGTGCTGTTGCTTCCCTAGTGATTCGAATCAGCAGCATGGCGGCAAGTCAGGCACTGGATGACGGCCAGCCATTTATCAAATAGCTGCGGCGCTCAAATCATTCACAGCAGAGGCGGTCACACACACACACACAAACACCCTTATATTTATGCGGAAGTCTATATAGCAGGTGGCAAGCTTTAGCAACCAGGATCTTCGAAGCAGTGACTGCTGAAAAATACACTCAACTGCTATCCGGCTCTTGGTGATGCTGCTAACGCTGCTGCTTGGTTGTGGTTGTGGTTATGGTTGCGGTTGTCATTGTCGTTGTCGCCATCGTCATCGGTGTCGTCCACGTGGTCATGGTCGTGGTCGTGGTCGCGGTCGTCGTCATGGTAGTGGTTTGGTGGTGGCTTGGTGGTGGCTTGGTGGTGGCAGTGTTGGTGGTGGTGAGTTTGGTGGTTTCGGTTGTGGTTTTGGTTGTGGTTGTGGCTGCGGTTGTTGTGGTCCTCGTCGTTGTCGTTGTTGTCGTTGATGTTGTTGGTGATGGTTGCGGTTCTCGTGCTGTTTCTGCGGCTGTTGCTTTCGCTTCAGCTTTTGCTGCTACTGCTACTGCTGTGGCTGCTGCTTCTGTTGCTGCTGCTATTGCTGTTGCTGTTGTTAATGTTGCTGCTGCTGTTGTTAATGCTGCTGCTGCTGCTGCTGCTGCTGCTGCTGCTGCTGCTGCTGCTGCTGCTGCTGCTGCTGCTGCTGCTGCTGCTGCTGCTGCTGCTGCTGCTGCTGCTGCTGCTGCTGCTGCTGCTGCTGCTGCTGCTGCTGCTGCTGCTGCTGCTGCTGCTGCTGCTGCTGCTGCTGCTGCTGCTGCTGTAGCTGTAGTTGTAGTTGTTGTTGTTGATGCTGTTACTGCTGTTGCTGTTGCTGTTGCTGCTCCTCTTGCTGTTGCTGATGCTGTTGCTGTTGCTGTTGCTGTTGCTGTTGCTGCTGCTGCTGCTGCTGCTGCTGCTGCTGCTGCTGCTGCTGCTGCTGCTGCTGCTGCTGCTGCTGCTGCTGCTGCTGCTGCTGCTGGTGTTGCTGCTGCTGCTGGTGTTGTTGTGGTTGTGGTTGTGGTTGTGGTTGTGGCTGTGGTTGTGGTTGTGGTTGTGGTTGTGGTTGTGGTTGTGGTTGTTGCTGCTGCTCTTGTTCTTGTTCTTGTTCTTGTTCTTGTTCTTGTTCTTGTTCTTGTTCTTGTTCTTGTTCTTGTTCTTGCTGCTGCTGCTGCTGCTGCTGCTGCTGGTGGTGGTGGTGGTGGTGGTGGTGGTGGCGGTTGCTGTTGCTGTTGCTGTTGCTGTTGGTGTTGCTGTTGCTGTTGCCGTTGCTGTTGCTGTTGCTGTTGCTGTTGCTGTTGCTGTTGTTTGTTGTTGTTCTTGTCCTTGTCCTTGTCCTTGTCCTTGTCCTTGTTCTTGTGCTTGTCGTTGTCCTTGTCCTTGTCCTTGTCCTTGTCCTTGTTCTTTCTCTTGTTCTTGTTCTTGTTCTTGTTCTTGCGCTTGTTGTTGCTGCTGCCATGGTTGTCGTCGTCGTCGTTGCTGCTGTTGTTGTCTTTGGTGGTGCTGGGTCACTCTGTGGAGATGACCAGCTTCATGAGAATCCCACTACATTACCATGCTGGTTTCAGGGTTGGGTTCGCAACATATGGCTGTGGGTCAAAACCCAGGAAACCCCTGGTGAACATCAAAATAGGTGGCAAATGGATGTTCATCCACCACAAAATGGGATCGCCATAGGTTATGCAACCCATGGCCATATCTTCGCCCCCCACTGGCCCACTGCGCTTCCAACGCGCCGCTTCCAGCGCTCCTCATTGAAGGGTACGCCTTCCAGCTCAGACAGCAGCTCGCCTGGCCAAAGGCCACCAAAGCCGAGAGAGTTTTCCAGTGCCCATGCCGAAGCTCACTTCCTGAGCTGATGGGCCAACCAACCAACCAACCAGGGGACCAACCAGGGGACCAACCAGGGGACCAACCAGGGGAGCAGCCCTGGTAAAAAGAAAAAAAGAACAGCCCTAGGAACAAAACAAACACCGGATCCAAAAGTCCAACGGTCCTTCCCAAAAAGGCTAAAGTCCAGGAACCCAAAACGTGGGAAAGTGGCTGCAGTGTCCTAGTTCGAGGCCCAAAGGCCTGGGTGCTTTGATCTGGCAGGGACAAGCCTGGTATGCGAAGGACCTCTGATTTTGAAGCTACTTCTCCCAAGGAACATCACAACGCGGTGTTGTTGCCACTGCCGGTCCATCAAGAAAAAAGATCTGAATCAGGCCACGGAAGAATCTGAACTGTTCAAGCAGTGTCTGTATCTGGGGTAGTCTCCGAATTGCTCGGTACAAAGGGACCTCTTGCTTCACAACCTACCCTTTCCACAAACGGGTCATTCCAACCTCAACGACTGAACGCTTCGAGGCCGGCACCCACAAGAAACGGGCGCTCTTGCTCCAAAGCTTCCGAAACTCCCAAGACAGCGCTCTTTGCTGAACTGGCCATGGGATGGGTGGGCTTTAGCACGCCTGCCTGCCAGATCTTTCAGTGTCTCGTTCACACCTGGCAGTCGCTGGAGGGCACAAGCCCAGCAAGCCTTCCTTTGTACCAAAAAGGCAAACTTGGCCATGGGTCAAAGCCCCGTACCCCCAGTGAACATCCCAATCCCCACTAAAGTCCCGACTAAACTGGGTAGTGCACCTACCCCAAAATAGGATCCCATTGGTTTTGACCGGCAGCCACTTGCAGACTGGTTGGTCAACCGAAAATGCCGCCTTGGTTCAACCAGGCGCTGCTCCAAATTCCATAGCAAAGTTGCCGGCGACCGAAAACATGGGTCCACACATAGCAAGAGAGAAAAGTGAGTGTTTCCAGGCCCAACGGGTGCTTGAAAAGGCCAATGGGATGCGCGGCAGGTGAATTTTGCTGTCGCAAGTTTGTGGCCACTTGATCGTGTAAGCAGCTCAGCGGCTCAGCTTTTGGCCTTCCATACTACATGCAACTTTTGTGGCTTTTCATTTCGCATCCTCGGCATTCAAAGTTCCTCTCTGTTTGGCTTTTTATTGGGTTTATGCGGCTTTTGCGGCTTTGGCTTTTCGCATCCTCTGCATTACCAGTTCATGTTTCCACTTGCCAGGGTTCCCTTGGGGGTACCTATTTTTGACCCACAGCCATATCAGGAAACTAGTTGGGATTCGGAAATGGACAAGCCTGGTATGCAAAGGTACCTCTTTGGTTCTGAAGCTACTTCTCCCGAGGAACACCGCAACGCGGTGCTATCAGCCCCTCTTTCCCTTTGCCAGGCCACGGAAGTATCTGAAAAGAGCGGTTGCTGTACCTGTTTCCGAATAGGAACATGCTGGGTCCAAGAGGACCTCAGCCATCTCCGTAACGGGTCCAAACCACGCAATCTTCAAACGCGTTCCAGCAGACAAGGCCGAGCCCACGCGTTGCTGGTGCGATAAGTAAGGAATGAGGCAATGAACCTAGGGATTCCCTTAGAGGAAACCATGACAAGTCCCTCTTTCTCTTGGGTCATTCCATTTCTCATTCTGAGAGCCAGCAAAGAAAAAGGGCGCCCTTCCGCCTTCCGCCCGGCCTCCTGGATCTGACAGCGCCTCGTCACCTGGCGAAAGGCTGAGTTCTTGGAACCGGAAAAGGCGGACTTGCTACCACGAGATCAATCCTTCGGGCTCTGGTGGTTCTTCTGCCGGACCGAATTTTGCTCCAAATGTTCAGGAGAGTAAAGCACCAGAAAGCGCGACCAATCAGAAGTCTCTCCAGGGTACGGCGTTTGAGTGGTCTGCATCATCCTTTGGCAGCTAGTCCACAATACATCTGATTGACTCAGACAGGATGTATAGATCGTCGAGTTGGCGCGCGCGGCCCGCCGACAACCACGACATGGGACACAGGCTCACAACACAGGGGAGTTCAACAAGAACAAAGCAAGAAGCAATTGCCCCAAGTCATCACAAAGCATTGTAAAGCATGTCGCTTCTTGATCCATCGGCACTTCTTGATTGTTCGGCACCTGCCAACATCTAGGGCTCGATGTTCATCCACAAGTGGGTGTGGGTCAATATTGAATCGCCAGGAGATGGACCGCAGATTTTAGTCCATGTTTCCATTTAACAGGGCAACCCATTTTGGGGTTACCCTATTCTTGACCCACAGCCAAGTAGTCACCAACGGCCCCTCATGTCCAACGCCTTGCACGCGAAGCCCATCCGCACCTCCGAAGGGACCGAAGCTGACGTTGGTGATGTTTACCAGGTCATCTGCGGAGAGGGGCACATTTGCAACTCAAACCCAAGCTCACTGCGCACTGCACAATGGAGCACGTAGAATTTGAAGGAACCTAGAGAATCAGCCGCGCCTTTGACAGAAGTCAAACCGGCTTGAGCTCTCCCTGACTGGCAACAACTAGCACACAGATCTGGGCGCTGCGTGGGCACACACACACAGAGTGCGGAAAAGACTCTGGGCAACTGTCGGTGGAAAAAACTCAGCCGAGTCTCCTCCATTCTGTTGAAGCTCTATGGAGCATACGCTAAACAGAGATGGTAAAGGCTGTCCAGCCGAGGTTTGGGCGGCGACCCGTCTTCAAGCAACCCGTACTACAAGACAAGACAAGCAAAGGCAAGCCATTGTCAACCCTCACAAAGCCGGTTCCCAAAATGGCAATCCAGGCATCCTAAACACCGCCAAGCACATGCTGGGTGTAGCAGGACAACAAATGCAGTGGAACAGTTCAGGGAACCCGCTTCCAGAAAAATAGGTTTTTCCCTCTTGGTGCCCCATTAAAAAATCACTCTAAACATGGGTCGCGCATCTTTCAGGCACAGTGCGGGCCAGAAAAAAGCCATGAGCTGAACGTCCGCAGGCCCAACGTGCTCGGAGCCTTCACTGAGTTCCGGCTCCGAGATAGGCTTCGGTCGGAAGACGAGATACCTTAGCCTCTAAGGGTTGCAACAGAGGGTCGGGAAGAACTACTTGTGCACATCTTGAAGATGATGCCCTGTCCTCATGCAAAAGGCTTGTCCTAGAGAAAAAGAGACTGAAGCATGAAGAACCCGTAGCTGCGATGAAACTCAGGGCAAAGATCTGGTGGCCAAAGTTCCATGATCCAAACGTGTCTCACAGCATGGTGTTCATTCCGTTGTAGGATCTGGCTAGCAAGTCTGCTGGCGAACTACCAGCTGTATAAAGATGCCAAACCCCCAGAGCCAAAAGTAGCAAGGAAGTATATAGACAATCTGAGTCACCTCAACTCCCGTACTCATCCACCAGAAACCGTAAGCCCCAATTCCAGACCAGCATGGCAACCCAAAAGATGCTCGGCCTTGGCCCTCGACGAGCTCCCGAACTGTTCGGGACGTCCACGCGAAGACGTCGTCACCTAGATTCTGGCCAAGGCGAAGCGCACATGCTCGGCTGCTCACACCGCAAGCACCAAGATCTTAGCTATCAATGTTTGAGTACTAGTTACTGTGGATGGACGAAATCCTGCACCCCTTTTAAAACCCTTGGAAACCATTCTTTGTTGGTATTTAGAGGGGAGTCATCATTTCAGGGTTTCTTAGTTGATGCAGGATTTTGTCCATCCACAGTAGTGCAACATCCAAAGCTATCTACTGCTCGAGAACGGCATCGCCCAAGGCGCATCGTGCCAGAGCTGTTGCCAAATCTCCGGAGTACATTGAGCAGTCGGCATGGTCGTGGGTATCTTTCCTGCGATCTGTGTGAAGTTTAATGGCGCACTTTGGTGGACATCATTTAGGTAGGGATGTATGTTCACCAGCTACATTTGCGGTGGTTCCCTATTGACATTGACAACTCATAACCGTTAACCATTTGTGTGTGTGTGTGCTCACTGCCCCTGGAAACACACACACACACACAGACAATACAAAAAAGAGAGCTTGGCCATCAATGGGTCATCTGGCCTCATCGGTGCCCTTGTGCTGTGGCAACTTGAATGAATGGACGGCTGCACAATTGACGCCATGGTCACATGAGTATGTCCAAACATAGGAAAACCGGTTGGTTTCTCCTGAAAGGCCCCATGTGGCCGGTATGAGCTCAAAAACATCAGCTTCTTGCTTTCAATCACAGCTTTGCCGGCGAAGCAAAAAGGGGCCTCCTGTATGGAAGCCTACGCGAGGAAGAACAAGGCGTGAAAGCTCATTTCGAAGACTCTTCAGAAACCAACGTCTTTGTACGGGCGACCACGACCGAAACGTGCTCTGGCGTGCGAAACGCCACCATCCAGACCGTCCGCGAGGGCCAACACCCGACCGGAGCGACTTCAAAAGCCCAGGCACCCAGAAAGGAAAGGGCAACCACCGTGGACAGCAGGTTGAAGAAGCCGTAGTTGCCTGGAGTCTCTGGCATTAATCTGTATCCGGAGCGACAGTGAACGCAAAACAAAAACAAGCCAGGGTTCCCTCGTAGCCAGTTTGGGACATGACTCTTGATAACAGAAAGCATGCTGGGAGGATGCTACAAAGTACCGGCTGTGTTGAGCATCTAGCATGCGAAGCACGATTCAAGGAGACACTACGTTGCAGTTCGCTGCGCTTGGCATCATTTCAAAGCCAGCACTCTAACATGGGGGAGCCCTCTTTTTAAGGGGCCACTCAAAATGGGTTAGCGTTTTTGTTGGTTTCCCTTCAAAACCAAAAGGAAGCACCGACACACCCGCATTTTCTTGCAAAGCCAGGTCTCTGCTCAAGGGCGTTCTTAGCCGAATGAACATCTGAGCCACAATCAAAACCCGGTCTTAAAACGGACCCAGAACCATGGAGAGAATTCAGCCGCCGGATTCCAGCGGCTATTGGCAAGGGGGTGGTCCTCTAACCTTCACCAATCCGCGGGGGTGTTGAGCAAGTGGCTCCGCCTTTCAGGGGGCCCTGGATTTCCCGCAACTCAAAACAGGGATCCTTACATTTATACACCTGAACATTGCCTCTGGTGGCTTCTCTTTCTTTTTGGCGGAAAAAGCCATGTTTCAAATGGTTGCGAAATGTATCTTGTAAGGAGCCCTATTCAGGGGGCACTGGATTTCCCCAACTCAAAAGTTGCAAAATGTTCCTGGTGGTTTCCCCTTGAAGCCGCCCATGATGTTGAAGGTGAGCCATGGAGTATCATCACCAAAAGATCCCACCCCTCCCAGGCCCGAACCCCAAAAAGGGCTATGTCTTGGACAGCCGGCTTTTCCCCTCCCGGGTCGAAACAGGCCAACAAAAAGGCCATACTGTTGGACCGACTAAGAAACCCTGGTGTCTGATGATTCACCCCGTAAATACCAACAAACAATGGCTTCCCGCGGTGTGCGAGTAGTGCAGGATGGCGTCGACCACCTCATGGCCCATGGGCCGCGCTTCACGGCGCTCCGGGAGCCCGGGCCTGTAAGACCGATCGCCAGCATCAGCACGGCGCAGAGGCTGAAGGCGGCCAAGCGGCAGTACCTAGCAGCGGGTCCATTCGAGTGCTTTTCTAGGTCCAGTAGAGAGGTTGGAACAAGGGTACCAACTTCTTTCTGCAGTCTACCAAAAAAGGGAAAAAGGGCACTACTGGGGGACCTAGTTTTGCTACCTTATCTTTGGGGGGCCCCACATTCCGGAAAATAGTGCTCTATTTTGATGTTGTTCTTGGTTCGGTGCGATTGGGCCCCCAAATGGGTGGACACGACTTTCGAGGTGGTTGGATTTATCCGCCAACCAGATTTGAGGAGGTTCCGACCATTAGGTGTCCTTTTAGGGTAAATAGATGGCCCGGTAGATGATTAAACCACCAGTTAAACCAGAAGTCACAATTAATGTTTCTACCAAAACAACCAAAAAAGACACCGGTTCCGACTCTTGGCATTCTTTGCCTTGTCGCCTCATGCTGAGTCCGGAACCCAGCCCTATGCCCCAAAGCCCCCCAAATCGCCCATCGGAGGCGGGATACGGTCGCCAAAAAAAGGAAAAGTCAGTGGCATACCGCGCACCCCTCAAGCAAAACCTGACTTTGGCCAGGCCTTGTTTGTTGGTGTGGTTGCTTTTTAAGGCAGGCAAGAATCATTTCCCTTTATTTTGCACGGCGGTCCCCATTCGGAGAGTTACACAACATCTTAGGGGACCAGTAAGAATGGACTGGTTTGCTTCTGGTACCAACAGGACAAGAATAGAAGACAGACCACCACTTTGAGAACACCCGCAAGAGCTTAAATGGGGGATCAGCATTTCCTCACAAATTGAGAATCCCCCCCCCCATTTTTGCTCCCATCTGGCAACGGACTGACCAACCCCTGTTTCTGAATAGCCTCCCAAAGTGATGAAGGGTTTACACAAACTCCGGGGTCAACGTTCTTCTCCCGCCTCCATCAACCCCCCGGGTTTCGGCTTTGGTTTCGGTTCCACGCGGCTGCTTGGTTGCTTGCTGATTGGGTGGTTGGTTGGGCGGTTGGTTGGGTGGTCGGGTGGTCGGTTGCTTGGGCTTGGTTGCTTGGCTGGTTGGGTGGTTGGTTGGTTGTTTGGGTTGCTCCGACAAACTGGAACGGGGGCCTGTGCACTCCGAAGCTCAGCAGCGGCGCGCAGAGCTCAGCGGCCAGCACGAAGCCGCAGCCCAGCTGGCTTGTGGCGCGGGCGTGGCAGTGGGGTTGGGGTGGGGGGGGTGGGGTGGGGTGGGGTGGGGTGGGGTGGGGAGGGGGGGTTGCGGTGGGGTGGGTGGGGTGGGGTGGGGGTGGGGGTGGGGGTGGGGGAAAAAATGGTAAAAGTAGGGGGCCTGGGGGGTGGTCTGTTGAGGGTTGCCTGTTCTGGTTTTTATGTTCATCTCAAATCTGTATTCCCCCTTATTCGTTTTTAAAAGAGGGTTTTTAGGGAGCTTATTTATCGTTTTCGTTAAGGTAATCATTTGGGTAAATTGTCGCCTTGTTCATTGTTGGGCTGGGGGCCGACATTTTTTTCATTTGAAAGAGTTGACCCTTTTAGTAGTTATCAAGTTCTGGGGTGTTGGTGGTGTATTTGTTTTGATATATGTTCTGTCATTGAAATTTTGTTATAGGTTAAACTTACAGTATAATGAAAGGTTATAAAAGTTTATACTGTTTAATCATATTATAATTAAATAATATGAATAATCAAAAATCAAATTTGAGAATTGGTAATGCTGTAAATGTCAAACTTAATTTACTTAAAATATGAATAAACTGAATCACTTCTGCTTTCCATCTTCCTATTCCATCCCACCAGTATTCAACCATTCTATTTTTGGTTTGTTCCAGTCTCTGAAAACACCCTCAAAAACTACCCACTAACACACCCCCTGTTCCACACCCCCTGTTCCACAAGGGTTGTGTTGGTGTCTTTCCTGTTCTACTTTTTAGTGGCATTTACAAGGGGATTTGACGAACACACCCCCACTAACACACCTCCTGTGGAACGAGGGTTGTGGTAGTGATAATTTGCTTTGCCTGTTTTTTGCTGGAAAAAACACCCACTACCACAACCCCAGTGGTAGTGCGACGGTCTCACTAACACACCCCCTGTGTTAGTGCGATGTGTCGACCTTTTGATTTCAAAATTTGAGGACAACCCTGAGTGTCCTAAAACAAACAAACGAAAATATCACTAATCAAATCAGTAGGAATTTTGTATAACTCATCTTGTTTATGTTTGATGTATCCCTCACCCCAATCTGATTTCTTTCCCGATGGCAACCGTTGAGCAGTTTCTAAATGTTTCCCATTCCTAATTTTCCCACAATCCCTATTACCTAATGGTCTGGGTTTCCATGATGTTATGTTAGTCCAGAGCCTAGTCCGTTTCCTGTAACAAAACCCATATTTACAATAATCCACATCATAGTAGTTTAAACCACTCATAAACGGTTGTTCCTTTAATAATCCTGTTTGGGGATTTTCTATTATCCAGTATTTAGGGTTAAAATAATCTATAATTTCAAGGGTTTTTAAAACGATACTATTAGCATAATCAATCTTACGAACACCAACAGTTTTAGCACGACTGTATTCAGTGCATGGAGGAGATGCCCAAATCACATCAAAATCACTGACCCCGAACTGTTTATAATCCCAACTCAAAATATCAGCATTGATATTTGCATTTTTCAAATCGAGGGAAATAACACTAAAACCCAAATCCCGAGCAATCCGACCAACCGACCCTGTCCCTGAAAATAAGTCTAATAATTTCATATTATTAGAACTATTTAGATATTAATATTTTCACATACATATCGTTGATGTTTGTCGCTTCGCTCGTGCCTTCTTATATCACATTTCCTAAAAACACCACCACATTCACATTCAATAGTTTCTTTTCTTTTTTCAAGGATTGTTTCTTTGTTTTGATGGTAATGTTCCCTACTTTTATCACATATATGTTCCTTGTTCTTTTCCGAGTATTCCTTCCTCATATGTTGGTAATGTTCTTTATTATCCTCTTTCCACTCATTAATTGTTCTACCCGCCACACATCTATTCACACAATCATTATTTTGAATGTAATAACCTTCTCTTTTCAATAGTTGTTCTTTGTTTTCACACGGATAGTCTTCTAATAATTCAATCTTGCAGTTTTCCATTCCATACTCATCAAATAATAAACGGCAGTTTGTTTTAGTGTTCCATTCCTCGGCTTTCTTATGGTTTTGTCTATGTCTTGCCATTCTTTGGCTCAAACTTTCACACGTGCTTCCGATGTAGCATTTATTATAACCATTATCTGTTATTTTGTAAATCTTTGCATTTTTATATTTACTGCTTTCCATTAATATCATACTATATCTTCTCTTTAACGCAGTTTATAATGACCATAAGGCAGTGAATTGAAAGCATCAATGTAAAACCTTTTATTTTCATAATTACTGAGTGATTGCTTGACTTGAGACATTGAAAATAATTGATGGTTGCGACTACGAATAAAATTATATGTTATTTCATGCTTTTTGTTTTGAAATAATGCTTCGTGGTAGTTTTGGTAAGTCAGTTCTTTCTTCACCTTGTGTTTCACTACACCTTTTGATTTCTTTTGTTCTTCTTCTTCACCGTGTATTGTAAAAGCATACGATTTAGGCTTTAACCCTATGAATTGTGTTATTGTTTGACCGTTGCACTCATCCTTGAAATAACCGAGTTTTTTCTTATTTGTTTTGTCATGGCAGGGGTGTTCAGGTGGATAATCGCTAAAGTCCATATATTGGTTTAATTCTTTGAAGTCCTTGTAGATGTCCTCAGTGAATGTTTGAATTACATAACTGTCAGTATCAGTATAAACCAGTTTGATGTTTTCATTGTATTTCTTCTTAAGAACATCATAGTAGAACTGATACATATGTAATTTACTGATGTCAAGGATTGCCATTCCTAAGAAAATCGGTTTGTCCAGTTTCAGTTTCGCTTTAGTTTTTTCAACTCCCACCAGATTTTCATTTATAATAAACCGGTTTTTGAAGGTTGGATTATTAACACATTTTTCATATCTTACCTCATTATCAACTAATTCAAAATCCATATGATTCCGCTTGTCTTCCATAGTTTTTCCATACACGGAATTATTCATTAATTTGAATAAATCTTTCTCAAAATCGCTTTTGGCTTCTTTCCTTTTACCAGTGTTGAAGTCAATCCACGGTTTCAACCATGCCCTCTGTTGAAATTTTATTATCCTATGGACTTTACCCATTTTCATTCCCATTTTCAAATAATACTGTAAAGTCTTGATATGAACCACATATTTTTCTTTATCCTTTAGATTTAATATTAACTTACTTGTTTTCTCGTCCTTGGGACTTTTACCATCATAATATATTTTGAAGACTTGCTTTTGATAGTCGGAAAGCATATTAACATTTACATTCATTATTTCAGGCGCTAGTGGATAGTCAGAGTGGAAGTCGTGCAATGTTTCGGGATATTCCAAATCAACTTCCATAATATAACCAAACTCATCGTTTTCATTCCAATTTTCAACACTGGGCGTTTTCTTTGCCCACTTGATATTTTTTAGCGGTAACTTCTGGGACATTGCTAAACCATACAAGTTATTAGCATCCAAGTAACTAATATAATTTGATGGCTTGTTCTCATCATATGCTTCCCCCATATACTTATTATTTGCCACTGCTAATTTATGACTTACCTGACACATACCACCTCTCATTCCCTTTTCAACCATCTCAAACATTTCTTGGTCATGCAATTGTTCTATTTCAACACCAGTTTTTAGAAGCATCGCGTCCCATGCGAAATTTGGCAATGTGTAATAATGAGCGGGGTCTAAACCGTAGTATTCCATACACAAGTCTCTAAAGTTTTCAAATACATCGGTCAGTAGTAAAACATCAGTTCTTAAATACAAGTCGTGATACTGCCCGAGTGTTCTAATCCCGAAGTGCTTCCATACTTTCAGTGCCCTTTCATAATCTTTATCACTTACATGTTCTTCACTCAATTTACTGTAAAACGCTTCTTTCGGTGGTAAAGCCCTTTCCTTAAATCTTTCAAAATCATCAAAGTAGTCATAGGGATAAATACCCTTATCGGTCAATAAATCCAAATCTTCATCGGTTTTAACATACGGGTTTCTAACGCTGTATCTGAAATTGTTCTTCCAATTCTCACGCTTTTTATCATCCTCATATTTACTCAACTTCACCAACTTATCCAACGAAGACGATAAGAAACTGAAACTGTCCTTGAAACAAAGATTTTTAAAACCAAAGGTTATAAACTTTTCGCTGTTCTGAGCGATACATTCTATTTTAGAATTCTTGTTCAGTTCGTGAGCCTTGTTGATGATTAAGTGGGCATCGTAGTTTTTAAGATTATGAAGAAACACAGGGATTTTATAATATCTCATACTAAATCGTAGATTGCAGTCCTCGTGGGCGCATCCTCTATACTGCCCCGTAAAGTGGCAATGGTCCCAACACTTCTTTTCTCCTTCCTCAAATTTGTTTCCACAAATGAAGCAGTTAGTGGCATTATTGAAGTCCTCCCAGTCCTTCTCGGTTTCAATACGGTCTTTGTCCTCCTTCATTTTCTCCAAAACTTCCTCTCTGACTTTATTGATTTTCTCAACAAATTTATCCATACAATCTTCACCTCTATATAAGTAAGGCTCACTACTTCCGGTTATAGCATTGACTACATTAATCATAAAACCACACGGACGATGATTTTGATATGATGTAGTTTTAGCTTTTGCCGATTTGCTTTTAACATCAATTGGCACAGTTAAACATTCAAAGTCGGCATAGATTACGAATGGAGCTTTAAGTTTCTTGAAATGGTTTTTGAATACTATTGTTTCACCTGCTTCTGGCATTTCTATTTTTTGACCCTCAACTGCTAGACATCCTTGTTCTTCGTGTTTCTTTAAAAGTTCTTCGGTCTTGAAACCATGTGAGCAGGTTCTACAGTGATACTTCTTCGCCTTCATCTTGTTAGTCTGACTACTCATTAACTTATCATAATTTTTGATATAAGCGTAATGGGATTTAACATCATCAGTCAATTTAATCAAATCGATTTTGTGTTGTGCTTGTGGGTTGTTGCTTCTTTTGTATAATAAAATAGTTTTACTATTCGTATCGGGGTTTATGTAA